ATAATCTGTTATTTGGAAGCTTTCTTACGAGAGCTTGGGGAAAAATACCGTCGTAGTTAAAACGAGGTTTAGAATACGTCAAAGCAGTATTTCAGCCTTTGGTGTCGATATGTGACTACACTATAACCTTAAGTAGGTTAAAAAGATACTAGTCGTCTATTATAAAATCACCCGCTTATGATCGAATTCAATCCGCGATCTCGTATACTAATAGCGTAACTTGCAATTGATAAATTCGAATGCCATAGTAAGTTATACTTAAGTGAGTATCATTGGGCAATAAAAAAAAATATTAAGGCCCGTTAATATGTCATAATGTTTAGCACTGGATGTGAAGCCCCTGTTGCTCGTAGTCATTAACCTAATGCTATCTATAGAACTGAAATAAAGGTTAGGCCTTACAAACTAGCCTATCTATCACTTCTGTTATATTGTTTACAGCTGAAATTCTGATATTTGCTTCTATTCTCCTTGGCCTTCATATATAACTGTGATCAATCAACCCTTCGGCGACAATCGTCAGCGCCCCGGCGGACCTAGTAGAATAGAAGTGTAAAACCCATTATTTTTCATGCAGCGTCTACTTTGCTTTGCTCGTTGAACTATCGAAAGCCACAAAATAGATAGAACATAGCACAAGGAATATATAAAATACGTGGTTGATAGGGGGACAACAAAAGCGCCGATATTGACTGAAGTTAGTTAAGGTTGTCGTCGATCTGAGTTCCCATTGCTCCTCATCGGCGGAGGGTTGAACTTGGCTAAAGGCAATGTGCGGGAAACCAAGGTTCGAGGTAAGGACAAAGCTTCCTCTAAGCGCATCCATTTTGTCTGTGTATGTGCATGTCTCAGTGGTACGTTGCTTTTGCGTAATCTATGCTTCAGTGGTTGGCCTGGCAGATTTATAGAAAATTTGTAGAAAAAATGAGCTAACGATTTATCATACGCTGATAAGAAGCAACTAAATATGATATAAAGATTCGTCATCCATGGTAAATACCTGAAGAGGCGGGAAAAAACGAGAGAAATCTGTACATATATGGCTCAGTCGACCATGCCATCTGTTGTAAAGACTGACTTCTATGGTACTCTAATGAAATGACAAGACGAGGCGACACATTCGTTGTAACAATGAGACGTATACATTTAAATATAAAAATTGCGTTTCGTTCATCGAAATTATTAAACTAAGGGCAGACAATTATTCCTTGTGCTGGCGAAAAATGGCGGTGGCTGCGTTTTTTAGAGTGTGAGCTTCAGAAACAAACATCGGAGTAGACGCTAACATCGTGTTTAGCAACGATAAATAATGACAAATACACTCACAAGCAGTGAGTTATTTAGGGATGTTGATCAACAGCCCTTCGCAAGGCTAGATCGGACTCTTTCCCCTGCTCGTATTAAGCGCGGTTTTACCTTCAAAGCCCTTTGAAGCAGTGCCAAATATCTGTACCGACACCTGTCATAAACGAAATAGCAGAAAATCAAAAGGTTAGGTATGGTGCTCAGAAGTAACTTTAGGCTTCTCTCGTCTCTTTTTTTAGGCATCCCACAGATCCGCTGAGCTAAAACTTCACAGCGACTCCAATTAAAATACATAACATTACGTATCCACATGTTTCCAAATGGCCTCTCAAAACATTAAAAGAATGCGATTCACTTTAGAAAATTATTTTTAATATAATTCTTTAGGGAAATATAAATTGCACGTATCATCATGCACCGCTTTGAATTATGATACTGGTTGAATAAAGTTTCGGTGAATAATAACCTCCTCGGTTCAGGGCATTCCTGTTTGTTATCTGGATCAACCTTTCCGATAAGAACCGAAAGTTCAGTACCTTGTCCTGCGTCCATGTAGAGGTAACACGAACCTCACCAAACCCAGGCTATCCGCAACAGTCGTACTCGCGCTTACACCTCAGATGCGTGTTCAATGACTAAAACAGAAGTTGGCGACCTTCACAGTGTCAACAACAGCCTTAAATTGACTCGCTTGGAAAGAGTGTCTGGAAAGGTGGGAGGTAGCGTTGATTGGCTCGACCGCTTTAACAGCTGCGGAGGCTCCCCACGTTTTATGAGCTGCATATGTTTGTGACGACAAAAATATCGACATCTGTACACGGTGTACCTTTTAACGTCGCGGTACTCCGTAGATTGATTGAGCTGATCGGTCGTCTCGTGTTGGGCTTGATAGAGTTGCCTAGTGGTGGTAGGATATTTGAACAAATTGTAAAGATTACTTCCTTCTTATTCGTTCACATGATGTATTCAGATGTACACGCTTATGTTAAATAATAATGTGCGTCAAATCATAGTATAGAGATAACATTATGACGTATTTATAACTTCATTCATTAAAGTATTTAGTATTTAGAGAAGTTCAAGATGATAATCTTTCCATGTGGAAGATTTGGAACAGTCTTGGTAGTGATTGTTTTTAGGTATTTGCACACTTTTTTTTCTATAGATGCGTAACATATTTTTTTTTTTTTTTTTTTTCTATAGACATGTAACATGTGGGGTAAATGACTTGACCTATAAGCAGCTCACCGTCGAAGGTGGTTTGCTGATAGCGGATTTAAAATGAGAAGCCTAAAAGAAACTTCTGGCTTTTAGAAAAAGAGAAAAGAAATTACGAATCAACCAACATATGCCTGAGCTCTTAACAAACTTCAAAAAAAGAGCAAAAAAATATTGTTTTATTTATTCATTCGACTTCGGTTCGTTATATGAAGTTTGAAAGTTACGGGCTAACATTCTAGTCTATCGATAGCAAGTGTAATTCATGAATGTATAGTTGTCAGAAATAAAACAACTTCAAGTTTGATTTACTGTAAAAATAGCTTTTTTTTTTTTTTTTTTACAGTAATAAGGTTTTTGAACTTCACACCTCATTTCGAGTATCGTTTATTTATCAAGTTTACCAAATAATGAATTTTGTGTACTTTCCACTACCATACGGCAGTGTATTCTTTTGCCAGCACTTAGCAGCTCTTGTTACCAACTGGTGTGCCAATTGTTTAGGTCATATGTTATTCCAAGTGCTACTAGGAGAGATAGGCATTTCAAGCGATAGTATTTTACAAAGCACAAAACGGCACTCTAATTTAAGAATTCGTCTGCTCTTTCTTTCTCTTTCCATCTAGTCTTTTTTCCTTGTCAAATGTAGCCTTATCTAGTTTGAAAATAAGCAGAGACTCTTCCAGACCAAAGGAATTGATTGTGATACACAGTGTTGCCGTTGGAGCTCTATGGCGCGTGTCGTCTACTGTCAGAGTATGGACAGTGCCAGTCTTATATTGCAGAGCTTATATTTCTCACTGAACTTGCAAGCTTCGCCTTCAATAATACTAATGACAATAGAAGCCTGTGGGAAGGACCGGTGAATGGCGGATACGTGGAAACGCCTACCTTTTCAATTTGTGGCACTCGTTTCTGCCACTAAGGGCATTATTGCAACCATATTTGTGATGAGATTGTCCGATTTGGTCTGGCCCCTGCAGAGTGTAACTAAGTCATGCTGATGCTATGTTTTGACCGGGTCAGGCAGTTCCAGT